GCATGAAATACTGTTTATTGATGCATATTACTTAAAATTCAAGATTACAAGTAATTTTGCATAGGTACAACTTATTAAAGCTATATTTTTAAATTCGTGTAACTAACCGCAGATAAACATAATCAAATACAGGATAAACATTAAATTTAATTATAGAAAATCTAAAATATAATTAAGATAATCATTGAGTTCTGACATAATGTTTAATTATTATCTTTGTAAGAAATTATATTACTAAACAAAAAATAAATTAGTTCGTTGTTAGATTTAAAATTAAATTATAATAAAAAATTAAATTACACAAAAAATAAGAACTTTTAAATAGTTAATTTGATATCAAGTTGATTAATTTATTTTCGAAATTTTATGATATCTTTAAATTTATATTTTATTCAAAAATAAAAACATTATTCATTTCTCAAAACCACATAAAACCCATATTACAACATCTACAGAGACGAAATAAAACAAAAACATTAAAATCAAGATATATTTAGCTGCATTGCGTGAATACCCTTCTAGTATTAATTATAATATGTAATTAAAAAAATAACAAAATATTAAGAAATCAACCCAAAGTCCAATTTATCGGTAACCAACCCGTTTGACCGGTGTATTTTATGGGCCTAAAGTTGATGGATTAAATGGGCCCAATGAAGTCTAGTTTGTATTGGATCAAGAAGCCCAAATATGTAATAATTTAGGCCCAACTGTTTATTATGTTTTTTTTATTTGCGGATTTTTTTTGAAGTATATAATATTTATATACGGTAAATAGAACAAATAAACTCACATACACAAATAAACTCACATAGCCTTCTCATCTATGGTGAGATTTGAATTTTTGACCATCTAGAAGGTCAATGACTCACATACCGCTATGCCAAATGATCTTTGGATTTTTTATTTGTGGAATTTTGGAGGATAATATTTAGATATATAATCTTAAACGGGGTTTTATAAAGTCAATCACTTCAGGGGCTGGGCTGATCCATTATGATGCATATTGTGGTATCGTGCCACTGCTTTGTAGTGTAAAAGATTTTAGGGGTCGTAAAAATTGTAATCGTATAATTTTGTTGGGTGTCACTGTATATTCTTTGAAATTAAATATATGTTGATTTTAAATACATTTGTGGAGTCGTTTAAATATTTTGGATTTTAAATATATTGGATTTTAAAATGTCATACAATTTTTTTCATCGATAGACTATAATTGAAACCATAACTCTTATTTATTCAAATTGTATTAATATGTAAAGACCAAGTGTAACTTATATCATCGTTAAATATTCTTTAATAAAACTAGTGAAACTTCAGAATAGTTAAAATTCACGGCTCCCGCCGCATTACGTTGGTACACAATTAGTGTTTCTAAAAAAATTTAGTTAAAAATGCCGAACACAGGACCTTTCATATAAAGTACAATAAATTAACTAATGTTTTTATTTTTAAATAAAATATAAACTTTAAAAAAAAATTGGTATTAATATCAAATTAATTATTTAAAAGTCTAATTTCTTTAATTTAATTTTTTTATTATAATTTAATACAAGTTTAATAATAAAATAATTTATTTTTAATTTAATACTTTATGGGAATATATAAACTGTTTGGCAGTATATTAATTATTGGTTGATCTTATCATGAAATGTTTGTTTGACTTTTTTTCATCTATATGTATAACATTTGGTCTTTTCCATAAAATACTTAGCAATATGAAGGTTAATTGACAACTACAACTTATATATATATATATATAGAGAGAGAGAGAGAGAGAGAGAGAGCGAGAAAGTGGAGAGATCAAATTCAAACCATTTAATTTGTATAAACTGTACAAACCTCCTTCATATGTCGATTTTATTGTATAATTTTATAAATTTTTTTCATATAATTATTTAATCTTGTGAAATTGTTTCATATAATACTTTTTTTGATGAAATTGTTTCATATATGGTTATAAAATTGTTTCATATAATACTTAATGATTTTTTTATGAAACTGTTTCATGTATTTATCTAAAATTAAAATAATGAAGATGCTAATAGCCATGATTAACACCCTCCACAATAAAAAAAAAATGATTAATCAACTTCTTATAATTACAAAAAAAAAATGAACAAAATGAAAATTTATGATTGGTTGATTGAGGTTTATACAGTTTATACAAATAACTTGGTTTAAAAAGTAAACCTCCTTTCTCACCGTGTATATAAAATGTAACACACTGTTTTTAATTTGGAAGGGAGGGTGTATCTATCAACATCAATGTGAGAAATATCAATGGATTTCAACGCTACTTTTCTGCAATTTCTTCGATGGCAGATCCAAGATTTTTGCTGAGTGAGTGGACCTTTAAGGTGGATCAACGGTCTGTAAAGTCGTCCAATATGTTTTTATCGAATTCCACCATTCTAATGGATTTTTTTAATTTTTTTTTGGTTTATTTCAAGGGATTTATTACTTTTGGTTTATTTCGAGATATTTTTGAAATTTTTTTGATTGATTTCGAGTGACTTTTTCGGTTTTTTTGGTTGATTTTCTATAAACTTCTTCAATTTTTTGGTTGTTCTTTAATTAGAGACTTTTTTTTTAGTTTTTTCCTTTATTTTGAAGGATTACCTAATATCCCGGAGTATCTGTCAAAGTTTAACGGATGTATCTTTCATACAAAAAAAAATCAACTTACGAAAATAAGTTGAGCTGGTGCACGGGACCCCACTGCGGCTTAATAAGTCTAGCTCTGGTTTTGTTAGGGGGATATATATGCAGGAAAGTTCGGTTGAGAACATGTTTTTCACTGAGAACACATAACTGTTCGCAACATCTCACGTATTCCTCTCCAAGATGAATGTTTATCAGTAATCATACATTTATAATGAATAACATGTCCATACTCCTGATAAATATGTCACGTGTCGTACGTTGAAAGAATGAGTTTAAATTATTGACCATAAAAACCTCATGGGAACATCGTTAATATAAAATTCACTTCAAACTATGCAATTTAAGGTGAAGTTATTGATTAATATCGTATTTATCTCCAATTGCATAAGAATGTACGTATGAGACCTAACTCTAAATATAACTGTTTTTAGGTAATTGTGGGTTTTTGATTCAGTTTATGTGTATCGACTAATCTTTAGGACTGTTATAAATGGCATGGAGTCATCGCATGTGATCCTCCATAACCACAATGGTTTTTGCAACGTCTGGATTCAAACTTGGATAGATGAGATTTTATGCTATATCCTCTAAAATTTAACGAGTGTACCCCTATCTTTATTGTAGTTTTTTAATCCGCAAGTATTTTATTCAATATATATATATATAGAGAGAGAGAGAGAGAGAGAGTTGAGATCATGTGAGACCAGCCTGTTTTTGTGAGACCACCTTTTTACACTTGAAACTTCATAGCAAAATGCTGTGAAGGTGACTTTTTTTTAACCTTCACAGTGTTTTTGTTATGAAGTTTCGACTTTTTTTTAACCTTCACAGTGTTTTTGCTGTGAAGTTTCAAGTGTAAAAATGTGGTCTCACGAAAACAGACTGGTCTCACGTGAACCCACCCCTATATATATATATATATATATGAGGTTGATTAATCATTTTTATTGTGGAGGGTGTTAATCATGGATATTATCATCTTCATTATTTTAATTTTAGAGAAATACATGAAACAGTTTCATTAAAATTTCATTAAGTAGTATATGAAACAATTTCATAACCACATATGAAACAACTTCATCAAAAAAAGTATTATATGAAACAATTTCACAAGATTAACAATTTCATGAAAAAATTTCATAAGATTAACGACGGATGAGAGTAGTTTTTACGGTTTTTACAAATTGGAGTGGTTTTTATTTGATCGCTCCTCTATATATATATATATATAGAGAGAGAGAGAGAGAGAGAGAGAGAGGTTACTTTGAAAACCATTTATTTCATACAAGCCTTACAAACTAATGACATCCATTCATTTTTTGATGAAAGACCAATATTGAAACAAACTAAATAAGTAAAAGAAAAAAAACGAATTCATATTGGAGACACGGAAGGCAAAACGGGAAAAAAAAATATGTTTTATGAACTTGTTTCATTACAGCTGTTATGCATATGAACCTGATGCAATCATATATGACCTATGAACCTGTTTCATTATAGTTGTTATACATATGAATATGTTTCATTACAAATTGTTATACATACCTATGAATGTAAACATGTTTTATTACAGTTGTTATACATATTAACCAGATGCAATCATATATGACCATGTTTTATTGAATAGTTTGAGTCTGTTTCATTGAAAATTACCCTGTTTCATTGAACAATTAGTAAGTATCTATTAAAAATTTATCGGTTTCAAAATTATTATAAAAACAAATTGATTGATCAATTACTAAAAAACCTCTATTTATATAATCTTCCCGATTTAAATACAAATAAAATGTTACAAAAATTATCTATTATAAAGTCAAAGGACAATCATATCCTTATGAATTAAAAATAAAGAAAATTAAATGAAATTATGCTACTTGTTGATGCTAGTTTGTACAGTTTGTACAAAAGGAAGTGGTTTGTATTTGATCTCTCTTTCTCTCTCTCTCTCTCTCTATATATATATATATATATATACACACACACACACATATATATATACACACATATTTGTGACTTGTTAATAATTTTGATTTTCGTCCCTATAGTTTAGAAATTATCATTTTTGTTCTTATGGTTTGTAATTTTCATACTTGAACTAATTCTTACCTTTAAGTATAAGGGACCAAAAAAGTAGAGAATTATAAACCACGAGGACCGAAACAACAATAAATAATAAATAATTAAAGACGAAAATAGTAATAAATTACTAACTATATGGACGAAAACGACAATTTATAAACAATAGGGACAAAAATCGCAATTTTTAGTAAACCACAGGGGGAAAAACATAACTGAATCTTTATATTATTATTGGTAATTTGGTTAGATTCAATTTAAAGATTCCAAATCCATCCAAAACCCGAACCTACGACTAACCCAACTACCAAAAACGTTTGCATAGCGATCCCAACGATCTCTGATTCCTCGATGGCGACCGACTTAGGTGCGAGGATCATGAGCACACTTGTGAGATACCCATTGCTCACACCAAGCATCAAGGTCAATCCGATCACGGGAACCTCGGTGTGCATCCATTTGGGTCCGCGGATGCAACCCAGAAAAAGTGGATAGAACACCACCCTTCCCATACTACACCATATCGCGCCATATGTCCCTCTTGGCACATGAATCGCCGTCAAACACTTTCCCAAAAAATCACCGACATTAAACGTAGTTATCAGAACTATAGGATACCAATCCTTAAAATAAGTCGATTCAACGTTTTCACTCAAGTAACCTGGGAAAATCGACAGTGTTACTAAGTAGATCAGGAACACAGACGTTACTAGCCATCGGATCTTCTTCACGACTTCCCAGAAGTTATTTGTTTCTATTGACTTGTGTAGTTGAGTTTTCGGATCATCGACGTGTTTTCGGTTCCGGTAGAATCGAATCACCGGTAATTTGTCCAAAACGTTGGTGCAGACGACGCAGAGAAGAACGATGAGTGAACTGAACACGAAGTAGATTTGTGTGCTTGTTCGGAGACCCTTTTGTGTGCGAGGAAGCGATGCTTTTGTTATGATCCTTAATATTGACACCATAAGACCTACAAAAACCGAAGTTAATTTGTGAAAAGGATCGAAATTTGATTTGGTGCGATATTTCGAATCGGGTCATTACAACAAAATTGGTTTTACAGGACGTCTAAAATGTCTAAACGCCCTAATAAAATATTTCATAGTACTGAAGTTTATAAGATCACACCAAAAAACCTCGTATCAAAAAGTGTTACAAAGGCTTGTACGATGATTCTAGGCGTTTCAACAAGTTTTTTAGGACGCTTGTAAAATAAAGTATTGTATGAGTTATTTTTATACAACAAATCATTTAAAAAACTGTCTTATAAACATAAATGTCTTATAAAAAGATGTATTTATAGTTCACTTCTCAGAAACCCTATTGGAACATTTTTAGATATGACGTTTTATAATCCAGTTCCGTAACATGAGTTTTAAAATTTAATCTGATGTTTAGACATTTTAGATGTCCTATAAAACCGATTCCGTTATAGTGGTAATGAATTGAATACGATACCGGCGGTGGCATTGCCGGCGAAAACAGCCTGCATGTAGCGTCCGGGAAGTTCTCGGGTGGCTCCGACTAAACTTCCACCCACCAAACCATCGGCTAAACCACTGATCATAACCATGGAAACAAGCACCAGAAATGCTACATTTGATCCTGCGGTGGTTTGGTTTCCATGATCGATCCAGTCTGTCACCGGCGCCACCATTAGAGCTAAAATAAACAAACCCTGACCCAAATTCATCCTCGTTCTCACCGACGGYARCTTAATCCGGCWGGACTTCGRCCAACASAGAAGGGTAACAAGCACCGTGACGGCGGCGGACATGTAACCGACGGAGAAGACTTTGTTGATGTGGGTGGTCGGATATATGTAATTGAAGTAATCGACGGCGGTGATGAAAGCATTCCATGGAATCAAATAGCCGGCGCCGAGAAAGAAGTGGATGATATAGGCGATGTGGTATGTGTCTTTTGGGTCGTCGTCTTCCACGTCGGATGTTTCCGGCTGCGGTTTTAATGGCCGGACGGTTTCCATTTTCGCCGGCGGAGGAAGCTGTCGGGATATGCGAAAAAGAGAGGGGAAATGATATTAATGAGTGGGTTTCTTTGAACTTATAAATGAGGAGTCATTTGCAAAAATACCTATTTTTCAATAAATTTACAAAATTAGTCCTTGTGGTTTCATGTTGGTTACGAAAAAGATCCTTCCACATTGAAATTGACGGCGAAGGTTATCACGATTTCGCTTTCGTTACGTCAAGAGTATACACAAGAATGAAGCCCCCTTCGTTGGGACGGTTAAGCACTGCCACCTCTCCGGGTCTAACGGACCGAAGCTAATCCACAACAATGGCTCCTTCTCTAGCCACTCCACCTCTCCCATCTCTATGAATATTGACTCTTTGTTTACGTCTCGGTGAACCACTGGTCCAACCCGCTCTCCGATTCTTCTTCCCCTTAAAACTCTAGCAACATCTCAGCCTCAACAGATCTATAACAGATAAATTTTGGTTTTGTTTTTCAACTTCGATTATCGATGGGTTCCGGACCAATGCCCATATGATTATATCTACAAGAGGTATATAAGATATACTAATACAATAACTATATGGGCTTTTATTCTCTATGTTTGGAATTGGGCTTAGTGGCCCATTGGATAACAATGGATTGGTTTTTAATATTTTAAGCCTTTAATGAAATTCAAAATTAAAAGACTGTTAATCAGTGATCGCCAAAAAGGGGTCCCGAGCAGACCTGGCCGGCCCTTACTAGTTTCGGTCGAAAATACTAAGCCCAGTTATGCTCAGCAGGTCCCAACCGGTCCCGGCCAATATATATATATTTTATGATGAGATTTTTTTAATACATTATAAAATTTGTAATTGGGTCACTTAAATACATTTTAAAAATGCGTTTTATTATAATTAAAATCGAGAATTGAGAAAGTTTTTTTGCATTTAATAGATTGGTATGTAAAATTTTCAACCATGACACTTGTATACAGGGATTAGAAGGCAAAAAAACCAAAAAAAGGGTCATAAATGATCATATAACGGCTATATTTAAAAAAAGACTATTTTTTTAAAAATCAGACCGGGTCCATAACTGGTCCCGATCTCGGTTGGGCCGGTCCCTCGAAACCCTCTAAAACCATAACTGGTCCCGGTCAGCGGTCCTTAACGGGACCGGCCCCGGTTCCGGTCCTCCGACGGTCTCGGACCGGGCCTGTTTGGTCATCACTACCGCTAATTACTAAATTTGGCAACCCGTTCACGATTTACTGTTTTCTTCAATTTAATACCAGCCGTTGATGGGTAACTTTTTGTTGGCAAAAATCATTATCCTCAGTTACTTTATCGTTAATATTTTTAACCATTAAAATTAATTGTTGGTAAATACTTTTTATCCGATAAAAGTTTTTCGGATAAGATTGTTTTTGTCATTATTATATATCTTATTGGATAAGATTCTCGATTATTACCGGTTCACACAGTAAAATACGTAAAACACAGTAAATCTTTGGTAAATGACCCATTTATCTATCTTGCAATCTGGCCCCATATAACCCAGAATTCAGCCATTGCATAATTGGTTTTAAGTTACGGTTGATTAATTGATTTCTTGAATTATTTTTGTATTTTTTAGTTTTTAATTCTTAATTAATAGTTTAAATTTTACAACCCATTATTAACCAATATTGTGTAGACCAATCAAATTCGTGGTATATATATATATATATATATATATATATATATATATTAATAACTTGGATATTCAACCTGTTATACAAGCTGATTAACTTCAGGTCGACCACTTGCTTGTGTATAGTTTGGAGTTATCGTGTTTAAACCTTCATGGTCATAAGGGGATTTTTATTCCTCCTTGATTTGAACCTGAAATTTTTGATATTTGGAGTCTCAGCTCAAACCAATCAGATACCACCCTTGTGGTTAAATCCGTAGGACATTATTTTAATTAAAAAAAATATTATAATCTTATTTAACTTATTAATTATTTAGAAAAAAAGGAAAATCATTTACGTTAAAAGCTTTTATCCGTTTAATTCAAACAACTTTGACTCATTATCTAACCTATTTATTTTATCATGTATAATTTAATCACGTATAATAAATTAAAAATGTAAATAAAATAAAATGTTGTATTTTATTCCGAAGACCATAGGTATTTAAACATTGATAAATAAATAACCAAGCTAATTATCAGTTCTAAGATTAATTCTATTAAGAGGCAATATCTGAATCGTTAAAGAGGTTAATCTTGTTTGATAAAAAAAAAAGGGTTGTCTCTTAATGGTTGTAAAACCCTATGAATGGTTTTGTATTCTGGACATTCTTTAACCATTCAACACCCTAATTTCATTATGTACTTTATCATGAGAGTCTCTTAATTATTTTAACCACTTAATTATTTTGCATCAAACCATTCAGTAACAGTCGAACAGAACCTTAATGTTGATATTTTGGGGTCTTTTGATATTCAAACAACACTTCAGACAGTACTGTTGTATATTGGGTTGGACTAGATTTAAGGTTATCATATAAATAGTATTTAAGGTTTTTTTTTATTATATAAAAATATAATATACAAATCAACTAAATATTTAGATAAACGCAAGTTCATCTAGGAAGGCTAAATATTATAAGAATGTAGGAACCATTCTTTTATGGAATCTTATGATGAATATTATTAATCATAAATATTTATCATGACATTTAATATGAATATTTTATCATGTTATTCATTATAAATGTTCAGGAAAAAAATAGTTCTTAAGTTTCTAAAATATTTAGCATTTCTATATTAACCCCCCTCTATTTAGGTAATTTCTAAGTGAATATTTATAAACTATTATTATAATATATTTACAAACACCTTCCTACACAATTTCCATATTATATTCATTAAACTTTCCTACATAATTTTTATATTATATTTATAAATGCTCATATATATCACGTGAGATCAATGATTTTTCGTGAGACCCGTAAGACTAATTTATGTTCATTAATCAACTTTATAAGCTAATGATCTAATGGTCTAAAGTTGTATGGTGACAATTTTGTGATTATTGAGAAGTCTTGTGGTAATTTTGTGATTATAAATATTCAGATTGTAAATCTAATCCAATGGTTGAGAATTGGTCTTACGGGTCTCATGAAAAATCTTTGGTCTCACATGATCCCAAGTCTATAATATATATATAATAATAATTTTTATACTAATATATATATAATGTTTTTTATAATAGTATATATGCATATCATGTAATTTTTAATATAAAGATATATGTATAATATATAATATATTCTAAGACAAATGGCATGAAAAATTAACGCATTTTAACTTGATTTCTATTTTGAGCAACGTACTTTCAAAACTTCTATTTTGGTACATAAGATGTAATGTTTTAAACACTTAAGTACCTGGGTAACCGGTTGAAAACTAATTTTAGATTTAAAAAAGACTACTTTTAGATTTAAAAAAAGGGAAAAGTCTAAAAAAACCCAATGGACTTTAGTGTTTTCAATGATTAAGTTCTTGTACAATTTTTTGGAACAAATAAGTCATTGGACATTCCAAAACCTGTTAAACAACTTCTTGGACTTTATAAAACATGTTATATACATTATTATGACCTATAAAACTAATTAACGTGGTAAAATAATGGAAAAAAATGAAAAAAAGCCAATGAACATTCATATTTTTAAGCGATAAAGTCCCTAAACATTTTTTATCCAAAAAAGTACTTACATTATATAAAATAAAACAAATATACCAAAAAAATACTTACATTTAAAAAAAATATTGATAAAATTTATTTTAATTAAAAATAAAAATATATTTTATTTTTAATTAGAATAAAATTCACAAACAATCTTTTTAAATATTTTTTTTTAATTTAAAAAATCGCATACATATATGATATATTTTATTTTAATAATAATATTTTTTTAAAAAAATTAGTTTGAAAAATCACTAATATGATATATTTTATTTTTAATTAAAATAAATTTCATCAGTAATTTTTTTAATTTTTTTTTAATTTATATATTTTATTTTTAATTAAAATAAATTTAATCAGTAATTCTTTTTAATTTTTTTTAGTTTGAAAAATCTGACAAAATATATTTTAATTTTAATTAAAATAAATTTTTTCAAAAATATTTTTTAAATGTAATTATTTTTTTGTAAATGTAAGTACTTTTTTGTTATATTTGTTTGATTTTATAGATCTWAATATTTTTTGGTTCAAAAAATGTTTAGAGAATTAATCGTTCAAAATATGAATGTTCATTGGGTTTTTTTTCGGACTTTTTCCATTATTTTACCACATTAACCAGTTGTATAGGTCATAAGGATGTATCTAACATGTTTTAGAAAGTCCAAGGAGTTATTTAACATGTTTTGGAATGTCCAAAGATTTATTTGTTCCAAAAAATTGTCCAATGACTTAATCATTCCAAACACTAAAGTCCATTGAGTTTTTTAGACTTTTCCCTTAAAAAAATTCATGTTACTAACCACGTCAGCAAATGATACTTAGTTGGATACAACATCACTCGCTAATCAGCATGATAACCGGTTAATGTTTCTAACGGTTAAAAAATCATAGATCTTCATACGTTCAATTGATTGCTAACTAAAAACACGAACATTCAACTACATTTATCAACTTTATATCATATGTCACTCGGAAATTCAAGCATGTACGCATTCACGTTGTAAATGCGTACGAGTTGGGCATGTAGTAGATAGACGTCAAAGCAAGTAGGTGAACATTTCTAGAAGACGACATTACTTGTGTATTATTTATTGTTAACGACGTTATATCGTTTTAACAAGAATCACAATCCCTGTAAAATCTATAACAAAATTTGGTCCAAAATTTGCATTCAATTAATGTAATAGCAATGAAAGGTATAACCAATGCTTCTATTTTTGTGGGATTTGTTTGGAGAATGTTCATTGATAAATCAAGAAAAATAACTGATATTTGAGCAAAAAGTTGATTATCGACAACTTCAATCGACTGCAAATGTAGGGGCAGAAAAGATACAGTGGCACAAGCCACCGTTTCATGGCTCCAATGTAAGGGGAAAAAATACAATTATGAAGGTTGTCATCGTATTGTTTTGTTGGGTGTTATCATATAGTTTTTGAAACTAAAATGTTACTGCAAGACTTAATATACCTCTTGTGTTCTAAAGACTATATGTAGACGGTACTCAAACATGGGTCTCTTATATGTAGTGGGAAAGAAACCAACCAACAGATTTATATTAACTAGAAGGGTACTCGCAAAATGCAGCGAGATACATCTCGATTTTAATATTTCATTTTATTTTTCTTTGGTTTTGGTTGATGTTATAATATGGTTTTATGTGGTTTTGAAAAAGCAATAATGTTCTTATTTTTGAATAAAATATAAATACAAAAATATCATAAAAAAGAAAAAAATATATTGATATTAGTACGAAACTAATTATTTAAAATTTCTCTTTTTTGTATATTTCTATAATTCATTTTTTTGGTTTAATAATAAAAAAATTTACAAAGATAATAATCAATTGTTTTGTTAGAACTCAATGATTATCCTAATTATATTTTAGATTTTTTATATTTAAAATGAGATGTTTATCATCTATTTGATTACGTTTACCTGTAGTTACTTACATGAATTCAAAAATGAAGCTTTAATAAATTGTACTTACACATAATTTACTTGCAATCTTGAATTTTGAGTAATATACATCAATAAACAGTACTTCATGCATAAAAAATAGTTTTTAAGAGTTTTTGTCAAATGCTTTAAGTATAGATATTGTGAACTTTTTCTTCAGATATTTTTTATAGTCAAATTGTATCACTACTTAAAAAAAATTCGGGTCTGCCTCTGTCCACACGGAACCCAACTCGAATGACCCATTTAACGATGATAATAGTTGCAGGCCCGAAATCAAAATCGGGACATATCTTGGATATGGACAAAATTACCCCCAACACTTTGCCAATTGAGCTACACGTTAAATAACACAGACAAAACTTACAGTCGCAACTTATTATGGGATTATTCTGGACGAAATCTGATATGAAACGATGCTTTTTGTAAGATGAAGTTAAAGCATAGAATAATAAATACGAGATCGTATTTATCTCCAAATTGCAAAGCATATTCCATTACTTGCATAAAAATGTACGAGACCGAGGTCTAAATATAGCCTTTTTCTTATAACGATATTATAGCTTTAATTAAAGATAAGTTACGTAAAAAAGTAACGTATTTTAATTTGATTTTTATTTTAGATAACGTACTTTCAAAACTTTTATTTTTGATACCTAAGATGTAAAGTTTTAAACATTATCCAGTTGAATCATTAACCGGTTACAATGGTGATGTGACGAGTGATGAAATGAAGTTGAGTTAAATAACAAATAATATTGAGTTGGATATCATATCACTCACCATAGCAATCGGTTACCTGTATACTTAAATATTTAAAACTTTACATCTTAAGTATCAAAATGAAAGGTTTGAAAAAATGTTACCTAAAATAAGAATCAAGTTAAAATAGGTGTTTTTTTTTACAACTTGCCCTTTAATTAATTCTCACCAATTTGTTCATAAAAATCTCATCAAAAAAGAAAGAAACAACTAAACACCAAATATATATTTAACCAAAAACCACTTCATCCATTTACCAACTGAACTACATACAGACGGCGAGATATGTATTATTATTCATAATACAATCAATGAGATCCGATTCAAAGGTTCCAAAGCCAACCGAAAGCCGAACCTACAACTAACCCGACAACCAAAAACGTTTCCATCGCGATCCCAACGGTCTCCGATTCCTCGATCGCGACCGACTTGGGTGCGAGGATCATGAGCACACTTGTGAGATAACCATTGCTCACACCAAGCACCATGGTCAAACCGATCACCGGAACCTCACTACGCATCCATTTGGGTCCGCGGACGCAACCCAGAAAAAGTGGATAAAAAACCACCCTTCCCATACTGCACCATATCGTGCCATTCGTTCCGTTCGGTACGTAAATCGCGGTCAAACACTTTCCTAAAAAATCACCGACATTAAACGTTGTTATCAGAAATATAGGATACCAATCCTTAAAATATGTCGATTCGACGTTTTCGCTCAAGTAACCGGGGAAAATCGACAGCGATATCGCGTACACCGTGAAAACCGCGATTACGAGCCACCGGATCCTTTTAACTACTTCCCAGAAGTTATTTGTTTCGATTGATTTGTGGGTCGTCGGAGGCTCATGAAGTTTCCGGTTCCGGTAACATCGGATCACCGGTAATTTGTCTAAAACGTTGGTGCAGATGACGCAGAGAAGAACGATGAGCGAACTGAAGACGAAGTAGATCTGCGTGCTTGTTCGAAGACCCTTTGGAGTGTGCGGAAGTGACGCCTTCGTTATCACCCGTAAAATCGACACCATAAGACCTGCATAGACGTTTTTAGGTGTTTTAACAAGGTTTTTTTTTTTAAATTATTAAAATAAAGTCTTCTGTTAGCTATTTTAGAGAACAATATTCAAAAGAGTGTCCTATAAATCCATTTTTTACAGGACAAATGCATTTTTTCAAATACCGTCGTATAAAATAGTTAATATGATGCTTAATTTTAAAATTGTTCTAAAAAACTTGTTAAAACGTAAAAAAAACGTCCTATAAACCCATTGCAACACTTTTAGAGAAATAGTATTGTAGTAGTGTAATTGGAAATTGGTAAAGATTTGAAGAGGGAAAGATGAGATAAGATCATACCGGCGGTGGCATTGCCGGCGAAAACAGCCTGCATGTACCTTCCGGGGAGTTCTCCGGTGGCTCCGACTAAACTTCCACCGACCAACCCATCGGCTAAACCACTAATCATAACCATGGAAACAAGCACCACAAATGCCACATTTGATCCGGCGGTGGTTTGGTTCCCATGATCGATCCAGTCCGTCACCGGCGCCACCATTAAAGCTAAAATAAACAAACCCTGACCCAAATTCATCCTCGTTCTCACCGACGGCAACTTAATCCGGCTGGACTTCGACCAACACAGAAGGGTAACAAGCACCGTCACGGCGGCGGACATGTAACCGACGGAGAARACTTTGTTGATGTGKKTGGTSGGATAKAKGTAATTGAAGTAATCGACGGCGGTGATGAAAGCATTCCATGGAACCAAATATCCGGCGCCAAGCAGGAAGTGGATGATGTAGGCGATTTGGTAGGTGTCTTTTGGTTCGTCGTCGACGTCGTATGTTTCCGGCTCCGCTTTGGACGACGGCTGTGAGGTTTCCATTTGGGTTTCCGGCGAGCTGAATGAAGAAAGCACCGTCGTCGAAATGTGGATAAAGGTGTCGGAATAAGCGAAGGGTTTGGGCTGAACTTATAGCTGAATTTGCATGAATTCAGGTTCACCCAATTAAGCCAGGTGGCAGTGCTTAATATAGACAAATACTAAATGGATTTACAAATGGACTATTTTTCACGTGAAGTCATTTCAGAATTCAGGATGTATGATTATATATTTATTTAAATAATATGTTTCATGTTAAAATATAAATAGTTTATTTATATTAACATCCTAAAATAAAAAAGTAACGTATTTTAATTTGATTTCTATTTCAAGTAATATACTTTTAAATTTTTTATTTTGATACTTAAGATATAAAGTTTTAAACATTTAAGTATTCGGGTAATCGGTTGAAACATTAGTGATATGGTATCAACTCAATATTATTTGTTCACATGGATATCTTAATCTAAAATTAGTTTTTATGTATTGTGGTTTATTAGAAGAAATAGTTAATACTTCAACATGTTACTCGAGTACTTAAATGTTTAAAACTTTACATCTTAGGTACCAAAATGAAGTTTTGAAAGTACATTACCTAAAATAGGAATTAAGTTAAAGTATGTTATTTTTTCATGCAATTTGTCATATTAATATTAGTGTGAGTTCTACCATTTAGAGTTGGAAGGGAAATGACAACAAACTATGCAAAAAGGAAGGTTCTTATTGGATCGAGATGCTCTTAGAAAACCATATATGAGAAGACATTCTAGAACTGACTCAACGACTGAGGCTAGTAAAACATTAATGTTATTATTGTTCTGTCCGTAACGTGTACTGTAGATCAGTTGGCAAAAAAGGGAGCTGATTTTGCCTAAATACAAGATGATCATAGGTTTGATTATGGGCCTCTTGATAGCCTGCTGTTGAGCAGGCCGAAACGTATCTTCATACTAGTGTCACTGGAGGCAGGTTCCGTGTAAAACTGACTGAGGTTGCTGGTAATCAATTTTTTATCCGTAAAATGTTATTTTTATTCCGAAATACAATATAATAATTATATTTTAAAATAAATTCTCAAATAAAAAAGTATGCGGTAAAGCACACACGAAAAGCATGAAGTCTATATATAATTAGGATTTAAGAAAGAGAGAATTATAGAACTAATATTAAAATGAATAAATAGTGGGGGTTAAAATCGCCATTTCATTTTTGGAAATTTAATTAATAAATAATTAGCAAATATTATGCATCATTTAATTAACTAAAGATTAATTAATTCAAATAAGTATTAGTTTATGTACTTGTACCATACAATAAACTGTAATATTTTATTGTGAATTAATTAATTAGGAGTGCTCATGAGTATCGGGTTGAAGACATTCAAACAACATAACTTAATATTTACGGTTTGAAAAATCTTAACCCAACGCAACTCAATCCAAACCGTATGGGTTGAAACTTTGATACATTAAAATATTCTTCTAACATTGAATATGTTATTTCTCTACTAATATATATTTTTTTGTAATCAACCATTTGATACAACTTATCCATACTTCTTATGGATATTACATTCAGTTAATTTTCTCAATTTACATATATATATATTCACAGTTACAGAACATATATACGAATGAGTTATATAGAGATATAGATAGATTGAAAATATGTGTATATGAAGAACGTACGTGACAGTGCAATTGTCTAATGTATATAATAAATAAAAATTCAACAATCATAATAAATCTAGGAAATAAAATGATATTAGGTCCACAGCTAAAAAAATTGTAAGTATGTGAAGATTAATTATCTGTAAACTTGAAATGTAACGAACTGTGCATTATTTATATTTGAACATGTTTATCAGTTATTTATTAGTAAAATTTATCGAGTTCAATTTCTTAATAGATTGTACGAATACAGTATTATATATAAATTTGAAATGTAACAGACTGTGCATTATTAATAATATATAATAATATTTAATAAATTGTTTTTAAGAAATCTGTTTAAGTGTTTTATAATACAGTATAAAATTGATATTTTAATGTGATTTATCCTAAATTTTTTTATATTTTTAAAATATATTAAAAAAATGAATTTTCAGGTATTTTAAAATCAGTTTTGAAAGATAAATATAATAACAGAAGAATTTGTCAATATGTACGGTTCTAATTTTGGTCTGAATAGGCCATGGACCACTTGGATATAAATTAAAAAATATAAGGTTGATGTCTGATTAGTTTGAGCTTGAGTTTCAAAGGTTAAAAATACCTGAAGATCTCAGGCACAAATCATCGGAGAAATAAAAATCCTCTTATAGTTACAGAGGTTTAAATGTGGTGACTTCGGACTACCCGCAAAGTAAGTATGAATTAATCGGCTCGCATATCGAGTTGAATATTCAGGTTAATAAAAAAATCTATTTTTCGTTCATAATTTTTAACTTTGATTTTTGTCTATTTTTAGTAGCAAATTAATTTATTCAATAAGCTAGAGACTGTATACTACATTATAACAAAGTTAGGTGTCGTTTACCAAACGTTTACCCGGGTAAGCGTTTACCAAATCACTTTACTTTACCAAATGAATATGGTAAGGACTAAAAATCTTACCCGATAAGAGCGAATGCAAGAATCAAGAGTCTTACCCGGTAAGTGAGGACGAGAACTTTTACCACAGTTAGCGCTTACCGGGATAAATTGTTGCATACGATGCATTTTAGTGAATAAAATCTTATCCGATAAGTAAGTGATAGTGTTGAATTTTACCGGTAAATGCTTATCGAGTAAGTGTTTAGGTAAAAGGCCCCTAGTTTTATAACATGTCTAAAATGATTAAGCATCATGATAAAATATTTGTATAGGACATAAGTTTATAAAACTAGACCAAAAAACGTCATATCTAAAAATGTTACAATAGGTTTATTGGGCGTTTTTAGGCGTTTTAACACGTTTTTTTATAAAGTTTTTAAAAATAAAGTCTCGTAATAGATTATTTTATGTGACATTATTTAAAAAGTGTTATAAACGCAAGTGTCTTATAATTAGATAAATTTAAAGACACTTTTTAAAAGTGTCTTATAAAATAGCTAATGTGATATTTTATTTTAAAATTATAATTAAAGAGTATTTTAGGTATTTTAAATTTTTTTTATCTCTCTCCTACCTTCGGCCTCCGACGAACACCATGTGATACCCAAAATACACCAAGATACACAATGTGATACCCAAAATACATACAATGTGATACCTAAAAAACACACCAAGTAAACATTGAGACCACTATGATACCAATTGTGGTACCACTATGATACCAACTGTGGCAGACATGGGAGAAGGGAGATAGGTAGTGAGCGGGTCACAGATACAAAAGATGGGCTAGCTGTCGGGAATGCTCACAGATTGGTGTTTAGTGGTCGATCATCGGAGACGAAATCTTGGTCAAACAAGATGACTAGAGGTCACCAAAGTGGTGGTGGTACCGGAGAAGGCCACCAGATTTTGTCCATGTGTGTCCGTGTGTATATGAGTATATATTAAAATAATTAAACTAAATAGTATATATATATATATATATA